AAATCGTCGAAACTTCGGATCGTAACTCAAGGTATTACTGTATCTATTTTATCCGAAGCGAAGATATTTCAGTTTTGTCATTGATATATTATCAATACTGGTTCTTTGTTTGCTCACACTTTTGTCGGGAATTTGCCTATTTCAAATAATCTTGTTGTATATTAACAACAACAACACGGCTTTTTCAGAATAACCGTAGCAACGACAGATGACCAATTTGAAGTTAAGCTTCATTCATGCTGATGAAGACGACAGGAAATTGTCGACAGGTGTAAAAAAAAACAACATATATACAGTAATATCTAGAGATAGGAGTTTAATTCATTCCAAGATCGAGCTCGTAACTCAAAAGACTCCTATCTCAAATAAATTTTCCCCATTGAAATTCATGGGAATATTTCCGCTCTGTTCCAGACCCCTAAAAATTCACCACAGCTCTTTTCAATTACTTTTTTTTTCAGAGCCGTGATGTCACTAAAGGAATTCTGCAAAATAAAAGCCAAAAAGACACAGCACAGCAGAGATCCTTCCCAAGCAGAGGTGAACACGTGGACTTCGGATGCTTAACTGAAACTCACTCATATCTCAAAATTCAGCATGTATCTCGAGGCAAAAAATCAGCCTCAGATATTCTTACATATTGTAATATTGAAATTGAAACTTTCAGGCGGATGCCATGGATGACGCTAAACTCATTCGGAAATATCCAAAGAGTCGGATATATACAACCACTTTCTCCCAAAAGACTTTACGAAATAATGAAAACCACATCTGTCTATCAACAGCAACAGCAACTGAAATGGATAGCACATGTAGAGAAAATAATGACATAATCAAGATGTTGATGTTCCACACAACTTCAAATAAAAGGTTAGGAAGGAAACTCCGATTAGTACTGAAAAGAGCGAAAAAGTTAACGGACATGAGAAACCCTTCATTTATACGCAAATAACCTTAAAAAAAGTATGAATCCATTTCTTTCCCATCCAGCTATGAGTTGAATAGCAGAGCAGATTGGGTTCTATAGCCTTAGTTGGCACCTGCCTACCGCAGAAAGAAATGGTAAACTACTGCGTGAAAATCTCCTGCCTATTCAGACATGGATCGAAAAAGAGATGTTTGCCCATATTGCACGTACGGCACTTAAGCAAGGCAATAAAAGACACTAGGATACAAGGGGTTATTGAGAGTGAAAGAAACAAAGAGGACAATAAAAGAACAGTATTCAAAGAGACTGAAGATGACGATTGTGGGTTAGTTTTAGCCGAAACGTGTTTTGGATTGTAAGAATAATTTCCTTTCTTCTTTTTTTGCGAAAGAACAATTTTATTGTTTTAGATTTTTTTCCAGATACAAGTCCTACTATTTAACCCATAGCTGAGAGAAGGAGATGAATTTATCCCTTTTCAAAGGGTATTTACTCGTCAGTGAAAGCAATGAACCTGGCTAGAATACGAAATCACTTTTCCAATTTCTCATTCGGAGTCTCTATCCATTAAACCACCCGCACATCGAAACCCACCCAGTAATTAGATCGTTTTATATAACTGAACATGAAAGATATGAAGGCGGAATAAACTGCTTATATGTCTTCCTCGGAAGAAAAATAAATCTTTGTTCTTCTAACAAGGTACGAGTAAAGTGCTACTATGTTTTATATATAAGTATGTGTGTGTGTTCTGTCAGCGATTGATAATGCCCGAGTGGCCTGACTAATAGCGCCAAACTGAATATTTATTTCATTGAAACACCGAAACTAAAAGGCATGAAAGTTATAAAATCGCTTTAAAACGATACAGAGCCATGTTGAAAGAAAACCAAACAAATCCTGACGAATGAATCTATATTCTGATTATTTATCAGTCACAATCTTTTCCGGTATTCAAATTAATTGCTTGTTGATTGAATAGGAATATCTTTTCTATTTTTCTGGGCGATTAGAAAGGATATATTTAATTTCTAGTTAAAAAAAAGGAATTTGTAGAGGACCGTATGTGGGTTTGTGAGTTGTTGAATTGGAAAACACATGTGTTCACTTCCTGCTAGAAGGTCCAACTACAAGAAAATGGCGGACTCAAATTTAATCTAACCGACAATGAAAAGAAAACAAACATGACCGATATATATATATATATATATATATATATATATATATATATATATATATATATATATATATATATTAAAAACACAATTTTACAACGGACATAGACAATAACATTTGTATGCGTGTGAACATTTGTGTCTGTTCTTTGGTGAATGTTCGTACGTACGTGTATATGTGTATAATGTTCACGGCATTTTCCCGGGAGTGGGGAGACGTTATCTTTTGCAAGAGCTTACATTGTAGAGGTGTTCGCTGAAATGAAGAAATGAAAAAGAGAACGAGGCGAGTATATATAGTGTAGGGAGGGAGACCCCTAGTAAACAATTAACGAATTAAGAAGGAGGTAACTCCGACAAATTATTTAATTTCTGATTGGCTAGATGGATTGTATTTAATCTGTGATTGGTTAAAAGGTTTTATTTAATTTCTGATTGGCTGGAAAATTTTTATTTAATTTCTGATGGCTTAGAACAGTTTTATTTCATTTTTTTATTCGTTAGAAAGATTTTATTTAGATTCTGATTAGTTAAAAAAGCTATGGCAATTATATTCTTGTAAACTGCGATCTTTTGCCCTAAGTTTCTTTCATTCTCATTCACATGCTGTTAATGATGTTTCACGTGAATCCTGGCAATTGCTAAAGATAAAAAGCAATGAGAAAAATCTTCATAATCAAATCACTTTCACTGTTCTTACTGAACTTTTATTAATGTTGACATTTGGAAAGTTTTATTTCTCTTTCAAAATTCTACTCATTCGACACACCCCTGCAATAAATTCTCATCATCTTATTCTAATGTTTATTTTAGTTCTTTGCTAAAATCCACGTTTTTTGGGGTTTTTTTTTTTTTTTTTTCACTTTCTTTCTATTTTATCTTAACTCCTATTCACTGACATATCCAGCCTTCTCGCTTGGATGAATTTCAACTTCCGAAATTAAGTAACATTCAGCAACAGACCCTAAAAGCTTCTCAGTTATTCATTTCAAATTACTATTTCAAGGTTTAGATTATTAAGTATTTCCATAAGTTCCTTCTGTTTTCATCTTTATATAGCTAGGTGGCTAGGATCAAAGTGTAGTATCTGCGCTTTGTGAGCTGCCGGGTCGGGTGTCTGTCGAACTTTCTGATTGCAGAGAGAAACCCGGACGAAGCTCCGCCGAAGGGTAGGGTTTCGTTGGGGGAGGTTGACGGAACTGGCCCGCCTCGGCGGGTTTGGATGGTTATTTATTTTTGGCTGGGCCTACGGGCTCAGAGATACCCACATTAAAAAGGCCTTGTGCCACATTCGATCCCCGTGGGTGGATTGATAAATACCATCTTTATATAGCATGAGCAGCATTTACTTTTAAATAACGATATTAAAAAAAAGAAAAACAAGATGGCGTTTTATTAAAAAATCAAAACATTAACTTGAAAATCGAGTCGTCGTTTTAAATAACCTCGTCATGGATGTCATGCATATGGCGCCAAAGTCGTTTAGAAATATATTTAAACTATCAACTATATGCAAACGCTTTCTAAGATCAGTGGTTCAAAATGACTGTGGGTGTTGGCAAAGACCATCCTTCTTCAAATTAAATGAAAGTTTCCTTATAAGGATACAGCTAATATTATCATTAGAAATGTGGAGAACAGATGCTATACTTTGATCTTATCTCAACGGCTAGCAATTCTCGAATGTCACTGCGTACAGGATTAATGAATTTTCCTTATAAGGAAACAGCCAATATTACTATTAGAAATGTGAAGAACAGATGCTATACTTTGATCCTATTACCACTAATATTACTATTACAATTACATTCCGATTGTATTGCGACTATTATCAGTTATCAATGTGCAATGAAAAATATAAAAAAAAACTAAGCCATTTTTATTCATGGCCCTTAACAATGAAGACTAGAGAAAATAAGCAACATTTTAGGAATATTATGTCTTTTATGTGAAGTTGAAATTAAAATAGAAAAGATTCATAATATCAAAAATATACAAATCAAACAGAGAAAATTATTTTTACTAGCTTTATGCTGGTCGATTTGATGTGTAGCCTCGATATAATTCCGTCTGCACCGCTTATGTCCGAATTTCGTCCATCTGATCCCTCCACGATGCCTGAGATCGACATGGCTCAGGAAGCTATATCGGGAATGAAACCGTGACGGGCATTAATCGCATGATAGGGTGGATGATAGTCTTGGCTGGAGCCTGCGTTGCCTTCTTTTGACCTCCTCTTCAGTCTTTCTCCTCTCTTCAAATGTGGAACAATCGAAAAGAATTGCTCTTCGCCAGGATGCACGATAGCAGATTCCTCTGGAATCTGTGTTTTTGGGTCTCCTCGATGTCGTTTGCCTTTGACGGGCTCGCTGTAAATGATGACCTGCGGGAGTTTTGAAGGGGTCATTCTAATCCCGACCATCTGAGGCGATGTTTGAGAATGGTGGCTTCAATACTCGACATTTCCGAGCGATCGTGGACTTCGTTGTTGTTGGGATGGACCTGTCATTTAATGTTGAAGATCTGTTGGAGCTTCGCTTGTTGGAAACGTTCAAGATTTTTCAGTTATTTTCGACACAGTGTTCATGTCTCGCAAGCGTATTGAAAGGTGGAGATTACAATGGCGCGGATCACCATGAGTTCTGTACGGAGGGAGGGTCCGTGGTTGTTGAATACGCGCTTAATGAGTCTTCCGAAGGCCCACTAAGCGGTGTTCGAATCCTCTTTCAAATGTTCCGGATTGTGAGAGAGTGCTATGTAATTTAAGCCTATTGAAAATGCACATTAATGCCGTATAGGATTACCTGTGAGAATACAGAACCGTCTTCTGAGATCAAGAATTATAATCATTACACACTGATGTATTCAAAGTCTTCATTTGCGTTGTCCAAGGCTTATGGTAATATCACGTTAAAATGCCGGTTCCCGTACGATCACCGAAATTAAACAACGTAGAGCCTGGTCAGTGATTGGATGGGTGACTGCTTGAGAATACCAGGTGCTGTAAGCTTGGGTGGGAGGAATAATGGCTCGGAATTGTTAATTGGAGAGCAGAGTTCCAATCCCCGCCGGGTTCGTTATATTCACTTACACGCAAATACCCTTGTGAAACGTATGAATCCTCTTATTCTCCTCACATCTATGGGTTAATTAGTAAAAATTGTATGACTAAACCATTATTATCGGAAATTATTGCAGCAATCTAAAATATTTTCTGGTTTTAAATAAACGGCAAATCAATCAAATCTCCAGTCACATTTTTTTTTTATCCCGGGACCCGTACGGTCGCAGCGGCATTATGTGTACTGCATCCGCAGTAGATGTGGTGTTTCTTGGGCTTCTGACGGAGCCTAACCCAATCCAGGCCGATTTTGAATTCAGAGTTTTTCCTTCTCTGATACCGGTTATAGAACCCAGTCTGTCCTGCTATTTTACCCATACCTGGAGAAGAAGAGGTTCCATACCTTTCTCAAGGGTATTAGCACGTAAGTGAATGTAATGGATCCGACTGGAATTCGAACTCGGCTCTTCGATTCTGCAGTTCGACTGTCTCTCCAACTTTAGGAAAATACTGAGAAGCAGTTCGACACTTCGAAAACACCTAACCAAAGCCAAATTATAATGTAACTGTCTGTATAACATTCTATGTAGTTATTTCAAGAAATATAAAGATTGTCCGTCCTGTAAAATCAAGGCATAATGAGCCGGCATAATGAGCCGGCATAATGAGCCGCCATAATGAGCCGCCATAAGCCGTAATACATGGGAATACTATGAAATCAAGCACGACTAAAAAGACCTTCAGAAACCCCTGCGAAATGAAGTTAGAATAATATTGAACCATATTGGGGATTGTCTTAATCCCCAACAAAATATTCAGCGCACGTGCAAAGACTCTGAAAACAGAATTAGCTTGGACAATCGATTTTCATCACTTTAAACCTTATTTTTAGTGGATACTCGTATTTGTATAGACGATCCATTTATTTATTAAACAGTATATTCCTTTATATTCAACTACCATCCTGAATATTCGAGAAATCTTATTAAAGAAGAATTTGCGCCCTTCGGCAGGAATCGAACCTGCGTACCTCAGGTCAGAGGCAGGGGGCTCAGTAGAGATGGTCAAAAAAATTCCCGACAGCGATACTTAGGTTTGAATCTAATTTTCGTTCTCCCGTATTAACTTCTAGAGAGTCCAGTTTTCCTTGCTATTTAACCCATAACTGGGGGGAACACGAATGTATCCTTTAGCGCCAAGTGAATAACCGGAATTTAAACTCGGCTCGGCAATGCAAATTTCTGCGCACATAACAGAACGCCATATTTGATTAGGAAAAATCACTGAACGCCATATTTGATTAGGAAAAATCACTGAACGCCATATTTGATTAGGAAAAGTCAGAGATTGGGTTGAAGGCTCCAAAAATACACCTCTAGATTGAAATACGTGATAAGAGCCATATGAATGTAAGCATTTGTCAAGTGTCTGCTGTTAACTGGATTCAATCACTAACTTATTTATAAAGTTAATATTTTTTCATTCATTCAATTCAAGGAAGGTGAAAATGCTACTGGGTGTGAAAGAGAATAAGAAGAATTTAGAATGAACCGGAAACCGAATCTTAAACAGGAAACAAGGGAAAAAAACCTCTACTCCTGTCCAAACGAGAGGAGAGGAGTGTGAACCGGGCGATGTGTGCCTATCTTCTTCTACCGTGGTTCAGTGGGACGAGCATAAGCGTTGTCTCATTAATAATGGGGAGGAGTGTAAAGTGATTTGAACAAAGGCTTAGGTTCGTAATTCGCAAAAGGTTATCAACTATAGTGAAGGCCGGAGAATACAATGGCTGAAATAATTTGAACACAGTTTGCAAATTCCACTCTTCGCGCCAATAACCCTTACGCTACCCCCTCTTCCGATAATGTTATATATAAAGCGAATAACATAGCTATGAACAGACTGAGATAGGCAAACAGACAAAAAAAAAAAAAGGATCCAAAAGAAGATGCGAGAAGAGGCAAGAATAGAAAAAGTAAGAGATCTATTGTCTATCTTATTGAAGAGGAGACTGTTGCTTATCTACGTGACGAGGTGATCGATGCGAGAACGACCTGAACACTCTGTCGTTATCTTGTTAGTGGCAATCTTATTCAAATCGGGGATACAGTCTCAGACCATCCCAAAATTGTTGATTTGTCTTTTGCCTGGAGCAAGGACACATATCAATGTCTTCGTGAATAAAGAAATCCGGAGTTTGTTCGGCAAGAGGTTCACAGTTCCTGAAATATACCTCGACATCTAATATTTTTTTGACCATAGGAAAGTAATTAAGTTTCTTGAATACAGAACAATTGAAAGTACGTATTATATATATATATATATATATATATATATATATATATATATATATATATATGTGTGTGTGTGTGTGTGTGTGTGTGTGTGTGTGTGTGTGTGTGTGTGTGTGTGTGTGTGTGTGTGTGTGTGTGTGTAACCAGATGCATGCTGACTACAAAATCATAAAAACCTCATTCGTACCAATATATCTCCCATGGATCCTAATAAAAGATAAAATTAATCATCTATTATAGAAAATAAAACACAACCAATTTAATTAAACGCAATAACTCCTCCCCATAAACTGATCTATTATGTAAAACCAACATTATATATCAATTCAAATATCCCTTGGAAGAATGTATCTCCGACAGAAAAACAAATATATATGTTGGATTTCCGACAACTACATTATCAAGACGTCTTACTCTACACATGTCTGACCATTCGTTTATTCCGAGACATTTTAGATTGTTTTTAATTTCGCGCATGCGCGTTGTTGTTGTTTTTTTATTTTGTCGACTGCTCCGTATAGTAGGGTCAGTTGGGCACCGTCTGAGAGAAAAAGAGCATGATGACGCAATTCACTCCGTCAGAAATTTAGAAACGGCATGATGTAATGCTTGGCATTTGCGCCGGAAGCTCCAATACGAACATTTTGGAATGTTTTGGGTGTCAATCCGAGAACAGTGCAGAGGATTCGGAAAGAGTTGGATGAAATATCCAGTCAACATCATGGTGTTTAGAGTGACCACTAGTGATGGCGACGTTATGCCTCCATTCACCTTCCCACGTAGCATCAGACTCAACACGGAGTCCTACATCAATTGCCTTGAGGAGGTAATGCTGCCGTGGGTCAAGTGGGTAGCTGCTGGAAGACCCTATATCTGGCAACAGGATTCTGCACCATGCCATATAACACAGTCATGGCTGTCTGACAATTTCTGTGACTACATCATCCCTTATATTTGACCACCTACCCCCAACTTGACTATTATGTGTGGGTCGCAGTTGAGCGAGAGACCAACAAAATTCCTTGTAACACCAAATATAAACTGAAGGCAAAGATTAGCATTCACCAACTTAAACAAGGACACCGTCCACAAGACTTGCAGGAGATTCCGAAGTCGTCTGGAGGTCGTGGTTGACGCCAATGGCGATTTTATTGAATAAATTTACTCGCTAGTATTTCAAGATATTTTTCTGTAATTTTAGTAAATATATCTGTTAAAATGAGATATCAATGTTATTTTCATTTTTGCGTAATTTAGATGACAATTTATCCGTTATATTCTATATATATCCTAAATATATATATATATATATATAGCGTGTATCAAGAATACTTTTACATATTTTGGGGTGGGTTCCTCGCACCAAAACAAGGACAAAATTCCATATAAACATATGTCCACAAATCCTTCGTTTTTGAGTTATTAAGTTTAAAGTTTGCGGCAGACGCTGTTGAATGTACAACCAGTCTTACGCTATCCATAGATTGTGGTGCCACAGATACTGTTTGAGCAACGCGACAATATACAGGAGCAAAGGTTGAATGACTCGGCTGTCTTCGGTCTGGAAATGCAATCTAATTCGGCCGTGCAGCCTTGGTACATTACCATTCACAAGGCCATATGTAAAAATCATATTTCTCTGTTCACAATATGAATATCCAGCATTGTTAAACAGAATGATTCTCAGGTAACTCACTACTACACACGTTAAAAGGTTCAAGACAGACTAGTCATAAATGTACACGAATGACAAATGTAACCTAGTCTTCATGGCAACAGAGCGCCATCTATCGAGAACTTCCTTTAAACTCAAAAACGAAGGATTTGCAGTCATATGTATATAAGGATTTTGTCTTTGTTTTGGTGTGAGAAACCCTCCCCAAAGTTTGTAAAAGTATTTTTGATACATCATTGAAGTCAACACATAGAGGCGACAGTCTGTTTCATGCTTCGTGGCCTGACGATTGCACCTAGCATGAAACAAACTGTGGCCTCTAAGTGTTGACTTCAATGTTCACTTTTATATTTACACACTCTATCCCTGACATTGAGCACTTTATGCCATAAATATAGCACACCTTAAGACTATATTTCTTCATATATATATATATATATATATATATATATATATATATATATGTATAATTATTTTATGTATAATGTATTTGTTGTATCATCGAGTCTTCTTAGTTTGTGAGTCTTAATTTTTGCTAATTAATTATTATTTGCTCTGTTTTTGACATAGAGTTCTCTTTGGATTTATATCCTCTTTGGAATTACCAAATATTATAATGTGTATATAAAGAAATACACTACCCTAATAGGCCCGAATAAAAAAAATGAAATTAATTACCTACTACAAAAAAATTTTTAAACCTTATCCTAAAAAATAACAACACACCAACAAAATCAAAATTACAACGAAAGAACATTATTTATGGGTTCAAATGACCCTTAAGGAACTGTGATCCTGATCAAACCGAATTCATAAATAATTACATCGGTCACACAACTACATGCCTATCCAGACGCCTTACGTTACATCTATCTGACCATAGCTCCATCAGAACACATTTAAACACACACATAAACTTACCAGACTCCATCCGAAACATACTAGTAGAAAATACAAACATAATAACCTCATCTACATGTAAAAAAAATAAAAATAATGGAAGACTTAATAAAAAAGAAGCCTACACTTAATAATATTAACTACGAACATGCCCACATTGTGTTGTGTTCGGAAAATAAAACATCCCTATAACTCTAGAAGCATACACACAACCCATACATCCAGTTAAAAACCCAAAATAAAATCATCCTTGATAATGGGTAAAAGTAGTGTCCAGAAAAGAAAACATTTGAACACAAGAATAATTAAATAAAAAGCTTAATCGCAGTACCTTGTGTCACCTTTAATGAAACACACACACACACACACACACACATACACACACACATACACACACGCACACACACACACATAGATAGATAGATAGATAGATAGATAGATAGATAGATAGATCTAAGGACACACATGGGTCAGTAAAACATTAAAAGATAAAATGCCGATAAGTAATTCATCATTTCTCTTGGGCCAACCTTAATTGTTTTATGACCCTTCGCGCAGAACTCTTCACTGCCAGTTCAAAAAAGACATTCGGATTGCTAACACATAAACAGAGAATGTCTCATATCGAGAATATTTAACATTGAAAAACAAAAAGGAAAAAATTAATTATTTTTAATAATATGTGGAAATCTCCGCTTTTACCTGAAGACGGTCGCGAGACCAGAAACCCGTGTAGTAAAATTATGGAAAATAAAGCATAATATATTTTTTTTAAAAAATCCACATTACAACCAAAAACGTTTGCGGCACCACTCTTCTCTTCTTTTTAATATACATACTTTTCTCGTTGGAACCACAATAACCTCTTTCTTTTACACACACACACACACACACATATATATATATATATATATATATATATATATATATATATATATATATATATATATGGATCCATTCTTATTTGTTCGCTATATTTCTGTCGTTTCTTTTGTTAATTAAATCCTCTTCAATTTTGCCTTCATTTCTTTCATTACCAATTCTTCTTTTCTACATTTTTGCCTGTTTTCTTTCTAACGTCTTTCCGTCTCTATCTCTTTCTTTTTCTTCCTTTTATTCATATTATTGCCTTCTCACATTTCTCCATCTCTCCGATTCATTTTCAAACCCCCATCAGCAAATCGTCTGTTAGTCGGTAATTTCCGTCCAGCGCTGATATCCCACCGTTTAATTTCAGAGTCAGAGACTAACACCGCTATGATTAACAACTAAAATGAAAGACTTACTTAGGCATGGAGTCCATAGTTGTACACCATCAAGGTTCAAAACTTTTTCAGGGACTTTTTCTCAAAGAAAGAAAACTTTTAGAAATATTCCTTTCTAGATTATTACCTTTCGATACGCTTTGATGTTAGACGGAAAAAAATTCTGTCTGCAGAACGGCATTGTTCATTACGTTAATTTTATTTCTTTTTTCATTGGACAATAATTCTTTTGATATTTATCAAGTTTCATCCCAACCTGCCCGATATCCGCCATTGATGTGTGATTTGAACTTTTGAATCGGCGATAAGCAACAGAACAGAAAATGGCATTCGACTGGAAATTTTGGTGGGTGATATAGGATTTTGAGTATTAAAAATGTATTTCAACATATGCTACACGAAAAAATATTCAAAAGAGATATATAAAGGTCCTGTATTAAAACAAAGAAAAGAAAAGAGGCTCAATGAGAATAAGTGGGTCACATGCCTAACTTATATATAAATGTCCCGGCAAACAAGGATTTATTTTCTATAGTTTTGAAAAGGGTGATTCACATTCTTCAGACGAAATAACATATTTGCTTTTCGATATAAATCAAATGAGGGAAGACCAAGAACAATTTTGTCAGTAAAATGAACAGATGACTACAGGATAATTTTGACTTAGTATAAGATCGTTTTTACATTTTTTATCTCATTGGCCATCTCGAATTTATCAAGGCAGGAAAATTCCCCTTCAAAACATAATTTATCCACCCGTATTCTGATAGAACGCACAGCAGAATCAGGCCAAAGATAGGACAAGAACAGTGCGGGTTCGTTAGCGAAGGAAAGCGATAAGAAGGGACTAAGCATAAACTATAAGAAGACAGAATACATGGTCATCAGTAAAAGGATTATACCGAAATGCAGGCCGAGGGCACTAAAATCAAGCAGGTGCGGGAGTTTAAATTTTGACAGAGGACGGAAAGTGTAACTCTGAGATCCGAAGACGTATTGGGATGGCCAAAAACGCCTTCCAAAAGCTAGGCAGAGTATTAAGAGACAGTAGGATTTCTTTGGTAACCAATAAAAGAATACTGAGCTGATACGTCCTCCTTTACGGCAGCGAATGTTGGACGGTCTCCTCAAAGATAAGAGACTCGAGGCAACGGATGTATGGTTCTACAGAAGGATGCTAAGAATATCATGGACCGAGCGCGTGAGCAACGATCAGGTTTTGGAGAGGATGCAAACTAGGAGTAAGCTTGTATTTAACATCAGTTAGAGGCAGCTGAAATTTGGGGACAAGTAATGAGAAAGGAGTGCTTGGAGAATCTGATACTCACAGGTCGAATAGAGGGAAAGAGAGACAGGAGAAATCAACGCATGACATACCTAGTGGGCTTAAACAAATGGATGACAGAACGTGGTCTGGGGGAGGTGGCAGAGGGACAAAACTTATTGAAAGTTGTAAGGTATAGGGGGTGAAGTGGATCAGAGAATTTAATATACATAATTACATGCAAAGGTTGTCACGAGCATTACATTGGCCAAACCGACCAGTCACTCCGGCAAATGGTAACAGTTCATCGCCAACAAATTAGGGACCCCCACACCTGAAAATATACCTTAACCAACATATAGAGGAATGTGGAGAACAAAATCTGCCAAATTTTAGTGTCTTCCCATTCTACCAGTGCGACTACTGAACCACTAAACAAAAGCGGATTAATAAGGAAATATTTTTCATCACAAAGTTCAAACTCATACTTAATTCATTGCATAAATAGATTCTATCAAATTCCCTTCACCATAAATGACATTATAGCCAGTTACGCCCCTTGATTTTCATATTTTAATTTGTTCAAAACATAAGCATCAACACGTGGAGATAGAAACAGTTTAAAACTTTTTGAAAAGCTAAGTGAAACCGGTTAAAGTATAAAAAAAGGAAAACAACAAATTATTTTTTTAAGAAACAAACAGTGAAAATCCAATTGTAAGTAACAAAGTTTCAATTCTTCGCTGTAAAAATTCATAGATTATAAATAAATATCATATATTAAATATTAGGTGCCTTTTTTCCGATTCTTATTTTAGTCTATACAATGTTTTTGTACAGAATCTTTCTAAAAAATGTTTTACCTATATATATATATATATATATATATATATATATATATATATATATATATATATATATATATAGGTAAACAGACTGGTCTTTCTAGGAGAAGGACGACTCTGAATTCAAAACTTGCAGACGGCGCACCAGGTCTCTGTATTCTGTTCTTCAATAATCATATGTGCAGGTTGTCTGGCTGTCAGTTCCTAGGATCCGAGGTGCCTGACCCTCATACGTCGTAAAAAAAACAGCCCGCGTCGATCAACGACAGGAGAGTCCACCGATATATATATATATATATATATATATATATATATATATATATATATATATATATATATATATATATATATAATAGAGCTAATTATATATTAAATAGAGCTATTATAAACTAATTTGCATCATGCTGGCCTCTGTTATCGGAGATGTTAAAGATATCCCAATGGTTGCTAAATACGGAAAGTGAACCCAATTTGCCCTGATGACTGACGAGGTATAGGGACATGGAACGTTTTGATAATAACTGCAAAAATAGGAAAATAATTGGCGTCTAAATAATAATAAATAATATTAAACACAATATCAATCGTTATCTTCTATCTTTTATTGCCCCCTCCCCTAAATAATGTTTTTATTTTTCTCATATACTTTCATACTAGGTAACCTTTGCGTCTTAGTGACTTTATTACCTTACTAGGTGATATTTTCAAATTATTAGTCATGAAATGATTAAAAGAAATAATGTAAAAGTTAACTCGTCATCTCAGAACTTTAGACGTAAACATGATAGTGAAAATATAAAATAGCATACCATACTTCTACTTTTTGTTAGTTCCTCAGTTACTCAACACGTCACACCGCCAATATCTCATAAATAACAGACTATCCCATTTCGAGCGTGACGAAAGACGGAAAAGACTTATCAGATATGCTGAAAAAGAAAGAAAAAAGAAAGAAAGAAAAAAAGAAAGAAAGAAATAATGAAGAAAAAAGAAAGAAAAAAGAAAGAAAGAAAAAAAAAAGAAAAAGAAAAAAGAATACAGAAATAATGAAGAAAAAAAGAAATAATGAAGAAAAAAGAAAGAAAGAAATAATGAAGAAAAAAGAAAGAAAGAAAGAAAGAAAGAAAAAAGAAAGAAATAATGAAGAAAAAAGAAAGAAAGAAAGAAAAAAGAAAGAAAGAAAAGAAAGAAAGAAAGAAAGAAAGAAAGAAAGAAAGAAAAAAGAAAGAAAGAAATAATGAAGAAAAAAGAAATAATGAAGAAAAAAGAAAGAAAGAAATAATGAAGAAAAAAGAAAGAAAGAAAGAAAGAAAAAAGAAAGAAATAATGAAGAAAAAAGAAAGAAAGAAAAGAAAAAAAAAAAAAAAAAATAAAGAAAGAAAGAAAAAAAGAAAAAAAAAATGAAAAAGAAAGAAAAGAAAAAGAAGAAAGAAAGAAATAATGAAGAAAAAAGAAAGAAAGAAAAAAAAAGAAAGAAAAAGAAAGAAAGAAAGAAAAGAAAGAAAGAAAAAAAAAAGAAATAATGAAGAAAAAGAAAGAAAAGAAATAATGAAGAAAAAAGAAAGAAAGAAATAAAGAAAGAAAAAAGAAACAAATAATGAAGAAAAAAGAAAGAAAGAAAGAAAAAAAAAAGAAAGAAAAGAAAGAAAGAAAGAAAGAAAGAAAAAAGAAAAAGAAAAAAAAGAAATAAAGAAAAAAAAAAAGAAAGAAATATAAAAGAAAAAATGAAAAAGAAAGAAAGAAAAAAGAAAGAAATAATGAAGAAAAAAGAAAGAAAGAAAGAAAAAAGAAAGAAAGAAAAAAGAAAGAAAGAAATAATGAAGAAAAAAAAATAATGAAGAAAAAGAAAAAAGAAATAATGAAGAAAAAAAAGAAAAAAGAAAAAGAAAGAAAAATGAAGAAAAAGAAAAGAAAGAAAAAAGAAAAAGAAAGAAAGAAAAAAGAATGAAAGAAATAATGAAGAAAAAAGAAAGAAAAAAGAAAGAAATAATGAAGAAAAAAGAAAGAAAAAAGAAAGAAAGAAATAATGAAGAAAAAAGAAAGAAAAAAGAAAGAAAGAAAAAAGAAAGAAAGAAAAAAGAAAGAAAGAAATAATGAAGAAAAAAGAAAGAAAAAAAGAAAGAAAGAAATAATGAAGAAAAAAGAAAAAAAAGAAAAATAATAAAAAAAAAGAAAAAAGAAAAAAAAGAAAGAAAGAAAAAAGAAAGAAAAAAAAAGAAAAGAAATAATGAAGAAAAAAGAAAGAAAGAAATAATGAAGAAAAAAGAAAAAAAAGAAAGAAAGAAAAAAGAAAGAAAGAAATAATGAAGAAAGAAAGAAAGAAAGAAAGAAATAGAGGTAATATAGAAAAGGCGATAATCTTTTCATGTGTCTAACATCTATTTCAATGAGAAAGAAGAACTTGTCAATATCAAATCTTCTAAATTCTAAGCTCTTTACTGCTTTGAATTATGACTTGCAGTCATATTTGTTATTGATCTTTCAATATTTGGTCAAAGTTAAGCTCCATCATTTAAAAAAAAAACAATCAAGTATTTTGTTGCCGTGGAACACGCAAGGAGCTTATGGTATCATTAACTTAAGAATTGGGATTCATAAGAAAATTGGACTAGAAAAACCGTAAATTTTCGAGTAAAAACTAATCACAATAAATAATTGCTATAAATAATGAAAAAACCGGCATCTTTTTATTATTTATATTAACTGTAATTAGAAAAGGACCTCAGCTGATATAGTGTGATAGTTTACGCTTAGCGGTCTATCAACCACTATAAGCAATTTAACGTTATTCTTTCTTTAACTGATGGGGAGTAATGATAATAGAAAGAGGAGGTATTGTCTTAACTTACTGTAATGACAAATGTACGCACGTGTAGGTTTTAAGAAAGTTTGATTCAAATGCGAATGCAAAGTTCGCGTATAGTGTCCTTTTATAGTCCCAGTAAACAGAAATAGCTCTCTCAAAGAGGAGAGTAACAAAACTAGGGGAGACCACTCTTGATTATTTATAATACTTAGTTCGTAATTTAAACATGTTTTGCCTTTACCCGCCAATATCATATAGTCTAGCCCATTTTTTTTTCTAAATAGGAGTAGATAGGGCGACCTATCTCCTAGTTCATATTTCTTCCCCTTCTTTTGAACAGGAGGAGATGTTTATCCATTGTTCCCCTCTTTAGGATGGGCTTCTCTGTTCATGTTCCTGAGGTCTTAATAACGATTGGTTGTTTTGTTTAGCGACATATCAACCTCTATAGGTTATTTAATGCCGTAATCTAAATATTTTGAACGCTACTTTTATTGTTATTTTGGCGGGTAGATAATAATGGTTACAATGATCCTAGTTTTACTATTTAATCCATAGCTTAGGAGAGAAGAGGTGAAGTCTTACCTTTCCCAGGGGTATTTGCCTAAGTGAATATATTGAACCCAACGGAGCTTAACTGAACCCAACTGGAATTGGAACTCTGCTCTCCGAGCCATTATCCATTACACTATTGTCATATCCAAGCACCTGATATTCCCAAGCGGTCACCTAACTAGATATTAACCAGGCTCGATGTTGGTTAACTTCGGAGATCGTACGGAAAACAGTGTTTTTCAAGGTGATGTGTCCGTATGCCTGATATATTTTACCGAGCCACACATAAAATGAGCGAGTTGAGCACTCCGGTTATCAAGCTTGTCTCGCTAGAACAATTACGACTGAGTAGTGAGTTCGATCCTCACTAGATGCCCCATCTTTCAGCCTTGTGCCACATCTAAGCTACGCTTGAAAAATCACTATGGGAACCTCGAGGTGGTATAAAGTTTAGCAAGCTTGTCTCACTAGAACAAGTACGACTTAGTCGTGAGTTCGATCCTCAGGGTGTCCCATACTTTCGGCCTTGTGCCACATCTACGCTACGCTTAGAAAATCAAATGCCACCTCGACGTGGTATAATGGTTAGCCAACTTGTCTCGCTAGAACAATTACGACTGAGTAGTGAGTTCGATTCTTACAGTACGCCCTATACTTTCGACCTTGTGCTAAAAAATTCACCATAAACGGTTGAGAAGTATAACGCTTATCGGTGCGGGAAAGTGAATTCAGCGTGTTCAGTTTTCTGATCGATTCTTTATCGTTCACTTAGCGACAAACCGTGAATCCGTACTCCCCCAGCTATAGGTTAAATATCAGGGTACACTGAACTCTCTAGACTAGTGTGGCAACCAATCGATAAGGACAACTCAATTCAAAACCGACTGTACTGAGGCTAGCAACTCTAAGCCGTTAAAACCATTTTGTCCTATACTCTACACCAGTTCTTCTCAAACTATTAGATGTGGCGTACCGGCAGTTTTCTTTTTCGAAGTGTTAGGAACCAGTGAGCGAAGTTTTCTAATCAGGCTGGAGGTAAGCTGGGGGCGGGGCGCTGCCCGCTAATAAATGGTTCTTGAGATATGTGATATAGCAGAATAATTTTGAGACTGTCTTTACTAAACATGAGGACATGATGCCATATTTATACTAAGGCGTGTTGTGTTATCATTGACGTAACAAGTCTTCCCAGTGTGCCAGGGACTGTCGCCATATTTGTGCTATAGAATTCTATAATAACAGTCCGAGAAAATGTAGTTCATTTTACAAAAACACTAGATTTAAAAAGAAAAGAAATTACCAAACTTTCAAGGTTTTGCATGTACACTCTCATCCTTTATTCTTATTGTAACTCATTAAAACCCATCATGAAAATCCAAAATATTAATTATAAAAATTAAGATAAAAATCTAATTATAAAAACAAATAAATGAAAGTCTAGTATAAATGATAGCATTCTGCATATAACCGATTAATGTCAACCATCCCCAAAATAGTATAGTGGTCATTTATGGGTTAAGTTCTATTTGAACATCCGTTGTTTTATTCATTTATACCAGAAATACATAATAAAATATATAATAAAAGTTGCATATTTTTTTTTATTATTTTATATTGATTTTGTCAAAATATGTCCATCATAATGACATTTTTATATTCCTAGATGTAGTTCCCACACAGTCAATCGCAACATTATGATGATGGTGTTGTCATACGTATTTTATTTCACTGTTTTGTTGTTCATTATATCGCATGAATTAGTTGTATTGCAGTGATATTTAACATGAGTAACTGAAAAATGTAACCATAATAAATATAAAGCTAAAATGGATTTTATTAAAATAAAATCGAGTCAGATATCCTGACAGTCTTCCGTGGAGTGGAATGTGATTACTGTTTCTTTAATTCCTGGAAACACTCTGCGTACCGATAGACGATAACTCGCGTACCGGCACCAGTACACGTACCACACTTTGAGTAGCACTGTTCTACACGAAGTCTGTGCGTTCAAGAGAAGTATCAAATGGTGTGGTTAATAAGTAACTGTACTGTTCGGTGGTTGGCCTTTCGTTTTTTTTGTTTTTGTGTTTTTTGTTTTTTCGTGGTATTGTAACCGGCATTAATATTATTACGTAAAAGGAAATCCGATATAAATTAGACTCATTAATTAAATTTCTCTCCGGTGGTAGTAATCAGTAAATAGAAGACATTTTCTTTCTTAAATAGGCGAGTATAATTAAAATTATAACCAGTGGGCAGGCTAGATATTACTAATTATCTGGTAAGCTGAGTTAATTGAAGCTTATTTACAGGCAGTGTGTTTTCTCCGTACGGTGCCAGGAAAAAGCGGATGAAATCAGTAAATCCTCGCAGTTACTGATCATTATCATAAACTGGTGAACACCGGATAAGAAAATCTATCATATATAGACAAGTTGTTTTAATATAAAATGTAAAATAATATCATCCATGAACTCCGGAAAATAAGATCTATCATAGCAAGGTATATAGATTGTTTTAACTCCGGAAACTCCGAAAATAAGATCTATCATAGCAAGGTATATAGAAAGTTGTTTTAATATAAAAATGTAATCCACAAGAGTAATATCATAGCTGATGAACTCCGGAAAATAAGATCTATCATACCAAAGTATATAGAGAAGTTGTTTTAATATAAAATGTAATCCACAAGAGTAATATCATAGCTGATGAACTCCGGAAAATAAGATCTATCATACCAAAGTATATAGAGAAGTTGTTTTAATATAAAATGTAATCCACAAGAGTAATATCATAGCTGATGAACTCCGGAAAATAAGATCTATCATAGCAAGGTATATAGAGAAGTTGTTTTAATAAAATAAAAGAGTAATATCATAGCTGATGAAGTCCGGAAAATAATATCATAGCAAGGTGATTGTTTTAATATAAAATGAATCCACAAGAGTAATATCATAGCTGATGAACTCCGGAAAATAAGATCTATCATACCAAAGTATATAGAAAGTTGTTTTAATATAAAATGTAATCCACAAGAGTAATATCATAGCTGATGAACTCCGGAAAATAAGATCTATCATACAAAGTATATAGAGAAGTTGTTTTAATATAAAATGTAATCCACAAGAGTAAAATAGCTGAATCCTATCAAGCAAGGTATATAGAGAAGTTGTTTTTAATATAAAATGTAATCCACAAGAGTAATATCATAGCTGATGAACTCCGGAAAATAAGATCTATCATACCAAAGTATATAGAGAAGTTGTTTTAATATAAATGTAATCCACAAGAGTAATATCATAGCTGATGAACTCCGGAAAAGAAGATCTATCATCAAGGTATATAGATGAACTCCACAAGAGTAAAATAATGAAGATCTATCATACCAAAGTATATAGAGAAGTTGTTTTAATATAAAATGTAATCCACAAGAGTAATATCATAGCTGATGAGGTCCGGAAAATAAGATCTATCATAGCAAGGTATATAGAGAAGTTGTTTTAATATAAAATGTAATCCACAAGAGTAATATCATAGCTGATGAACTCCGGAAAATAAGATCTATCATACCAAAGTATATAGAGAAGTTGTTTTAATATAAAATGTAATCCACAAGAGTAATATCAAAGCTGATGAAGTCCGGAAAATAATCTATCATATCTATCATAGAGAGTTGTTTTAATATAAAATATAATGCACAAGTATATGAACTCCGGAAAATAAGATTGTTTTAATATAAATAAAATGTAATCCACAATATCATAGCTGATGAACTCCGGAAAAGAATAAAGGTATATAGATTGTTTTAATATAAAATGTCCACAAAAATATAAGATCTCCGGAAAATAATCATAGCAAGGTATATAGAAAGTTGTTTTAATATAAAATGTAATCCACAAGAGTAATATCATAGCTGATGAACTCCGGAAAATAAGATCTATCATACCAAAGTATATAGAGAAGTTGTTTTAATATAAAATGTAATCCACAAGAGTAATATCATAGCTGATGAAGTCCGGAAAATAAGATCTATCATAGCAAGGTATATAGAGAAGTTGTTTTAATATAAAATGTAATCCACAAGAGTAATATCATAGCTGATGAACTCCGGAAAATAAGATCTATCATACCAAAGTATATAGAGAAGTTGTTTTAATATAAAATGTAATCCACAAGAGTAATATCATAGCTGATGAACTCCGGAAAAAGATCTATCATAGCAAGGTATATAGAAAGTTGTTTTAATATAAAAATGTAATCCACAAGAGTAATATCATAGCTGATGAAGTCCGGAAAATAAGATCTATCATAGCAAGGTATATAGAGAAGTTGTTTTAATATAAAATGTAATCCACAAGAGTAATATCATAGCTGATGAAGTCCGGAAAATAAGATCTATCATAGCAAGGTATATAGAGAAGTTGTTTTAATATAAAATGTAATCCACAAGAGTAATATCAAAGCTGATGAAGTCCGGAAAATAAGATCTATCATAGCAAGGTATATAGAGAAGTTGTTTTAATATAAAATGTAATCCACAAGAGTAATATCATAGCTGATGAAGTCCGGAAAATAAGATCTATCATACCAAAGTATGAAGTCCGGAAAATAAGATCTATCATGAAGTCCGGAAAATAAGATCTATCATAGCAAGGTATATAGAGAAGTTGTTTTAATATAAAATGTAATCCACAAGAGTAATATCATAGCTGATGAACTCCGGAAAATAAGATCTATCATATATAGAAAGTTGTTTTAATATAAAATGTAATCCACAAGAGTAATATCATAGGAAGTCCGAAAATAAGATCTATCATAGCATATATAGAAAGTTGTTTTAATATAAAATGTAATCCACAAGAGTAATATCATAGCTGATGAACTCCGGAAAATATCTATCTATCATATAGAAAGTTGTTTTAATATAAAATGTAATGCAAAGGTAATATCATAGAATGATGTCCGGAAAATGTTTCATAATATATAGAAGTTGTTTTAATATAAAATGTAATCCACAAGAGTAATATCATAGCTGATGAAGTCCATAGGAAAATAAAGAATCTATTATAGAAGAACTCCGGAAAGTATATAGAAGGTATATAGTTGTTTTACTATAAAATGTAATCCACAAGAGTAATATCATAGCTGATGAACTCCGGAAAAGAAGATCTATCATAGCAAGGTATATAGAGAAGTTGTTTTAATATAAAATGTAATCCACAAGAGTAATATCATAGCTGATGAACACCGGATAAGA